TCTAAGATGGCACCTAACAGAGGAATAAACAGGAACTTAAGTCTTAAAAAGCAACGGTCCTTAAGCTATGACTCCGAGCCATTTTGGGGCCTGTGGGAATGAAGGCCAGAAATTCCATCCAATCTTAGCCCGTGAGGCTATTTGGTCTTAAACGATAAGGTGGCGTGGAATTGTGGACAGACTGGAAAGTCCAGGTTTGTTTGGGAAGCAGATTCTTTGCACTTTGCGAAAAGAAAAGCAGCAAATCCCAAACCAGATTGAAAAATTTGCTACAAATTAGTATTCTTTAAATTATAATTCTGCGCCAACTTAAATTCTGAGTCAGACTGTGTGTGTGTGTGGCGCGGTGGGGGAGAGGGGAGGGGTGTGTGGCGGAGGCGATAGGGGGAGAGCATTCGATAACCCAGTGGGGTTATCCTTTTCAAGGAGGTCCACGTTGGCCAGGCTCAGCGAAAGCTGCTTCACAATACCTGCATCAGCTCCAACAACGCCATACAAAAATAAAACGAGATTCACAAGATTTTGTTTGACCAAAGTTTCCTTTTGTTATGCACAACAAACGACTAGCAGTTCATGGGACTCCAACTGCCCAAAGTGAGCTCCAGTGCCATTACTTTAGTGGGGACACTGAACTGGGGGGTGGGGGACTCATCTCAGGACGGGAGTGTTGCCCTCTCCGCCCCCACCCTCAGGAACTCTACTTCAAAAGTGACCCACTCTCGATTTCCTCATTAAGAAATCCCATTAGAAATCGGTGCATTTTACACCCTAAATCTTTGGTTAAACAGCAATCACTTGACTATAGCATCCCAATTTTCTTAGGACATATTATGGGATACAGTAAATAGGTAGTCTGGGACATATGTGCATGCGTCCACCACGAAGGTGGAAGGCCAACTAGATGGACCTTGGTCTTTTCTCCGTCTAGCATTTGTTATGTTCTTATGCTTGACGATCCATTTTGCAGGGCCGAGTTTTTGGAAGCTGAGGCCCCAAATTCTCTCTGGTCTCAGTGTTTAGACCATCTTCCTTAAGGTTCCGCACAGCCGAGAATTTGGACCAATTGTAAAATTCAGTCTCGATTTAAAATCCGGTTTCTTGTCAAGAGCAGCTTGCGATTTAAGACTGGATTTAAATGGTCCGGAACACTTAATGCTGAGGGAAAAGGTCATGACGGTAATATCATTAATAATTCTTATGAAGTTTTGGCACTTGGTCAGTAAATGTATTACACCGTCTCTAACCATTCGACCTCACAACATAGGAACATAGGAATTAGGGAACAACCCAAGCGCTTACAAGATACTGGGCGCTGCGTTCAAATTCAGACATGTTCATCATAAAAACAATTCTCTCACAACTCCAAAAGCTAATTCTTTCCTTCTGTCTCTCTGACTGAGTATCCCTGCTCTCAACTTGCAAGATGGGGAAGCATGTGACCAGAGGGGAAAGAGCTCCATAATAATAATAATAAATATAATAATTATTGATAATAAATATTTGGTCACTCAATCCACGGCTGTTTGTGGGACGCTGCTGTCCGCAATTAGCTGCCGTATTTCGCCCACAAAATACACAGTCACTCCACTTCACAGTATATCCTGTGAAGCGCTTTGAGACGTCTCGGAGACATGATAAAAGCCATATCAAATGCAAGGATTATTCTTATATATAGTAAAGGAGGTCACAACTCCGGTATTCCTTATTTCACCCTCCTCTGTCCCACTCCCGGCCTCAACTCCTCCACCTCAGCCTTTCTTTTATCTCTCTTTAGCTCCCACCATAGGACCTACCTCTTTGACCCTGTCCTGGCCACCTTCCCCTCCGCCTTGCAAGAAGCCAACACCACCACTGTGCAGCGCTGTGTAAAAGCAAGTTGTTGTTGAAACAACCACAAATTATACTCGTATAACGCCCGTCACATCGAAAAGACATCCCAGGGCACTGGGACATCCCAGGCCACCGGAGACGTGAGCCCATTTACCCTATAAAATAATAATAATATTGAATAGTGTTACTTCGTTGGTGTTAAGAGCATTATCCTGGGAATAAGCCTGAGGGGACCTCTTCCTGCACCCACAAAGTTGCATTGGAATCCTTGCAGAATCTTGGGGTTCCAGTGCATTTAGGAACTCTGCAATTTTGACCCCAATACACTGCCTCTCTCTCCTCACTCCAACAAACACTGGGAGGATTAGTTTACAGTTTCTTTTAACCGTTCAGATGAGTTGTAAAATTCCAAGCCAATCCGGGTATATTCTAACAGGATTCCTTAGTTTTGTTAAAAGATATCGCAATCTGGGCTGGAAATTTTGGATGAATTTTAGTAACGTTTGTGTTTTTTTGGGGGGGGAGAGGTGGAGAAAGGTGAGATAAGTGACATGATAAAATATCACTGAAAATTAACACCAAAACATGCGCTAAGTTAGCGACTGCTCTACAAGTTCTGAATAGCCTCCTCTGCCTTTGGTACAATAGTTTGCTTGACTGACCCCCCCCCCCAGTGCTTCACTAGCACCTTGGGACATCCTCCCGACCTGAAAGGCGCTTTACAAATGTAATTTTTTTTGCTGTTCACGGAATATACTGCAAAGTGAATTGACTGTATATTTGTGTACCAGAATGACACGCAGTACTTTGTAGTGTTCAAGTTGGTTATTATAACCCTACATTTGATATCCGGCTCTAACACCCAAATGTCTTAAAGAGCTTCACAAGTTATCACTGGCAAGTGTAGTGACTGTATAATAATAATCCTTGCATTTGATATAGCGCTTTTCACGTCTTCGAGATGTCTCAAAACACTTCACAGAATACGCTGTAAAGTGAATTGACTGTTTATTTTGTAGGTGAAGCGCGGCAGCCAATTGCGAACAGCAGTGTCCTACAAACAGTCGTGGATTGAAGTGACCAATTTATTATTGTTTTTTTTTCTTGAGGGATTATTATTAGGCGTGTGGAGTAAGGAAACTTGCCCAAGGTTTTACCCTGCCGGGAATCGAACCCAGGTGTCTCGCTTGCAAGCTGAGTGCTCTAACCACTGAGCTATAGGACTCTACAAGTATGTTTATCGGCCAACCTGGCAGCTGTTTTGTGCACTCCAATGCCACACAAACAGCTATGAGGTAAATGAACCATTTATCTGGGGGACTGTCAGCCAAAACAGAAATTTCTCTCTTTCTTTACTAATAGTGTCATGGGATCTTTAACGTCCACCTGAACAGGCACAGACAGGACCTTGGTTTAACGTCTCATATGAAGGACGGTATCTCTGACAATGCAGCACTCCCTCACCCATTACCACATGGGCCTTGAACAGCTCTCAATAATCTTGGTTAATGCTGAATATGACACATGATAAAGTCACACATTATCAGAAATCCTCACTGGTTGGAGCTGAGCAGGTTAATGGTGACCTGACAAACTAGTGGGTAACCAGTAACAGATCATTTCCACCTGTTAGCAAATCAGGCACAAGGGGGGCCCAATGGAATAAAATCACAAACGGAATTAAAAGGGGAGGTTAGAAAAATGTCTTTACGCAGTGGGAATGTGGGATCACAAACCACTGATGAAGCGGAATCCAGAAATTCTATCTTAAAGGGAATTAGACAGAAGCTCGAAAAGGAGGAATACATAACCATCCTTGTGTTTGGTAATAGCGTCTGATTGTGTCGTCAAGATGTCTCAGAACGACTGTGTGCTTTGTATGTGAACGAGGCAGCTAATTTGCGCACAGCAACATCCCACTAACAGCCATGGAGTGAGTGACCAATTTAATCTGGTGGGGCAAATTGTTGGTAAGGACACCACGAGAAAGAAACTCCCTTCTTGGTTTCGAGTAATGCTATGGGATCTTTGCAGCTGAGTGTCGGCCTAGTCTTCCATTACAGAGTGCAGGGGTGGGGGCGGTGGAACGGGAGGGAGAGTGGGATTAGACTGGATGTTGTCTCCAGCCTGAGAAAGGCCTGTAGCACATCGACTCTCTCTCTCTCTCCCTTTCTAGAGCACATTCGACAGATTGGAATCCCATTGCGGAGTCGGTTGTATTGGGTTTGTTGGTTGTTTGATGGATGGACAGCACACTCACAGACTGGCCTTAAATAGCGACTATTTATGTGCAGAGCCGTGCTGATTGGCAGCTCGGAGTTTCAACTTTCTCCTCGGGAGGAAGGAGTTAGGATGGTCTTTAACTGGAAAAAAAGGAACATCAGACAGCGCTGGCAAGTGGGCCGCGGACGGAAAAATCCCTCCCCCACACTGGACCTCTGTGCACCCTCCGTACTCCACGTACATGTGGACTAGCACACGCCTGAGTCCAATTCCATATGAACTAGCACACGCCAGAGAGACAATTCATGAAATGAGCAGATTGGTGGGTTTGACATTGGGGGGCAGAATTGGGTTAATTTGTGAAGACTCTCCCCAAAGCCCTGACCCTCCCCCCACCCCCCTAAAGCACACCCTTGAGCCGATAATGCTTACAAAGTGACTTTTGAATGCTGTAAGTGGGGGAGGAAGAGACGATCCTATGTGAATAAATACCCAGAGTTTGATAGTGAGGCGCCATGACTGAGCTGAGGTCACGTAACTCAGCTCAGAAACACCAAATATTTTCCATACTGGATATTCATTCAAACAAGACTATTAAGGGGAACAAGAAGAAACACCAGGGGAATGGGGTTAGAGTAGAGAGCTCCAGTGGGAGCGACCACCAGCAATGGGGAGAGATAGCGAGAGCAGGGAATGGGATTAGAGTAGAGACACAATGTCTATAACTGTTTAGTGTTGAGATGCTCTGGGCTAGAACTCGACCTTTTCAGGCTGACGGTTGATCAGTGGGGAACACAATGTGGACACAACGCGGTGGAGATGGAAAAATAGATGGAGCCATTATGAGGGGAAATTCCGCTGATAGCCGCCCACACATCATGGATTCCCGCTCTGAGCACCGGAAGGAGATCACCAGATCCGCAGAGAATCAGCAATGACGTTTCCCGTCTGTGGCAATGAGGGAATAGCGGATGTGAACCGCTCGCTTTTCCCACCCAATTGTTCTTTAAAGATGTGCAAAGTCGGAAGAAATATTTGCATTTCTGCAGCACCAATCGTGTTGCAACCGTCTCAAAGTGCTTCGCGGTCAAAGTGTAGTGACTGTTTTAGAGGCGAACGCGACTGCTATTTGTCCCCGAGACACCCAGCCGTGACCCTCCCTTTTTTTTCCCCGATAGTGTTGCTGTGTCTTTAACATCTGCCCGAAGAAGAGGCCGACGGGTTTAAATGCCTCGCCAATAGGTCAGGTGCCTCTGACAGTGCAGTTACCTCAGGGGCGCTATATAAATACAAGTTGTTGTTGTACTTCGGTGTGGGCTGTGGTTGTGAGGTTGGCTTTGGTAACACAACCACAGATAGTTCCAAGGCTCAACTGGGAAAACCCAGCCTTGTACAGAGACATCTCTGAGAGGTCCTTATAGAGATGTGTAATAAACCAAACTGGGAATGTGAAAGTAAACCCACTACAATACTGTTAGATAACCATGAGAGCAGCAGCACAAGAGGGAGCGGGGCCAGGGGTGTAAGGGGCAAATTCAGGACAGAATCACAGCGAGTACGAAATGTCAGAAATTACCCCTCCTCCTCTCCCCCCACCCTGTCAAAACTGTTAATGAAACATCACATTTTTCCGCCCCAACAACAGCAAATAATTTCACGGAATAAAGTACAAAGAGCTGCGCTTGTGTTCGATTACGGTTGAGAATTTAGCACCCCCACCCCTGCCTTCTCTTCCAACCACCACCCCACCCTCTGGCACCCGTTACTTTAAGATACTATAGCGATCGAGTTGACACTTTGACTAGTTTCCTAGTGAGAATGGGGGGTGGCGCCGGGGAGTGGACAAGAGTGGGGGTTGCCTTCGCGAGACAAAGTCTTTGGGAAGTCGCTTGGCTTTCGAGAAGAGGAGAATATAACAGCAGCTCTGTCCCCGTGCGCCAGATGCCATCGCTCTCTGAATAAATACCAAGAGGGGGCGACAGACGAAACAATCCCAATCCAGTCTCACAAATCACCCGGCCTTTGATGCAGGCTGTCTTGTCAGTCTTGTTGTGGCTTCTCTCTCATGTGTTCTGGGTCTGCGGACAGCCAGGTCTCCTCTAAATGAGGGAGATGCGGACAGGGCAGCTCGGCGACTGGGTTCTCTGAGGGGAGTGAGTTTCCAGTGTGTGCTCCACCCCCGTGTGCTTGGCCATGTGTTTGATGAGGTATGTCTCCTGCAGCAAAGAGAGGTCCCAAATGGAGTTGTTATAGCGTCAAAACATCGCGGAGATTAGTGCGGGGAGTGTAGTGAATTCTGGCTTTATTTTCGGAAAACACGGTGGCCTTTACTGTATAATAAAGCGCTACAACAGACGTGAGAATAGTCAATTTTACGGGAATGGGGAAGAGGGTAGGGATTTCAGCCACGGCACTGGGAGAAACTCCCTTCCTTTGTCGCGTAGTGTTTTTAACATCCATCTGAACAGCACAGAGGGGACCTCAGTTAAACCTCAGTTTAACGTCTCATCTGAAGGATACATGGAACTTTTAAGAGTTTGGTTTGGATACTCACGTGATAGGATTCAGCATTGTGATGGGTTTTGTACGTATCAGACAACTTTCTGACTGCTCTGAGCGGGGAGGGAAGGAGGGGACACACACACACTCACCGAGGTGTAGGCCCGTCCGCACATACTACAGCAGTAGGCCTTGGCGTGTTTGACCGTGTGCGTGGAGAGGTGGATTTGCAGCGAGGCCGAGTCAGTGTACGCCCGGTAACAGTTCGGACATTTGTAAGGCTTGTCTTTGTTGTGCTGCCGCTGGTGAGACTTATGAGACCAATCAGAGAGAGACGGAGAGGGGGAGAGAGAGAGAAAGACATGGGGAAAAAACACATCAGTATATGCTCCAAACACTGATATTCCCATTCTGCTGAGCTGGCTCCAAGGTGATATGGACGTTCTCAAACCCTAACCAACCCAGCGGGCACCAGCTTGCTCCATCCGCCCCACTATCAGCGGGGTATCTGCCCCTGCTTTATGGAACTACATCGCACATAACCCCTATGACTCACTCCTTCCCCGCTTCCTTCAATATTTACCTCAACACCTTCTTCTTTGACCAATCCTTCAGGTCATCTTGTAATCAGCCTCTGAGCTATTGGACCCAGAAGATTCCCTTATAAAAGTAATTATAAAGGAGGTTCCTCCTGTTGGTGACTATGGAGAGCAATCAATGACCTGAGCGCATACAATCACAATGCCCCCGATGACCCCATCACACCGATTCCTGGGATTTGTTCAGACAAGCCCAGGCACTCACTGACCTGCAGGTTGGAGAGCTGTGTGAAAGCCTTCTCACACCCAGGGTGGGCACATTTATACGGTCGATCTCCTGTGTGGATCCTGCATTCCATTAGTTTTGGAACAAAAGAAACACAACTTTGTTAAAATTTAAAGAATTTAAGCCTATTGAGTCCGTCAATCCTTGTTAAACTGGAATGAGACAGGCCCACCTGACATTTGGTACAATTCCTTTGAAGGATCTCAAAGAGCTTCACAGAACTTAGGCCCTCCTGATTGGCTCGCACCAGCACCTCCGCACCCTGGGTGCTGGCAGCATCAGCCTCCACGGCTGCACAATCAACCTCACTAAGCCGGTCAGGAACCTGGGTGTCTTGTTTTACCCTGAAATGTCCTTTCTCCCCCATATCCACACCATGACCGGCACTGCCTACCACCACCTCCGCAACATTGCTAGACTCCGCCACTGCATCACCCCTCAGGCTGCCCAAACCCTCACCCACGCATTCATCACCTCAAGAATCGGTTACCGGAACTCCCTCCTCATCGGCCTTCCCAACTCTTTCCTTCACAAGCTGCAGATCATCCAAAACTCTGCAGCTCATGTACTCTCACGCACCAGCCTCCGTGACCCCATCACTCCCACCCTCGCCCGACTCCACTGGCTCCCCATCCCCCAGAGGATCGAGTTCAAGATCCTCGTCCTCACCTTTAAGGCCAAACATGGCCTCGCTCCCTCCTATCTCTCTGACCTGCTGACTCCCTACCAACCTGCCCGCTCCCTCCGTTCATCAGGCTCCGGTCTGCCCTATCATCGGTGACCGGGCTTTCAGCCTCTCTGCCCCACTCCGGAACTCCATCCCACGGTCCCTTCGCCTCGCCTCCTCCATTGCCTCCTTCAAGGCCGATCTCAAGACCCTTCTCTTCAACCGTGCCTTTGGTCTCCCTCTCACCTCTCTGCCTTCCCTCACCCCTACACCACCCCTCCCCCATGCTCGGGCCCTGACACCTGCCTGTTCAGCGCTTTGGGACGTCTTCCCGATGTGAAAAGCGCTCTATAAATGTCATTTTGTTGTTGATAGATAGCAGGAGTACAGCAGATGTGAATATTGTAAGGCAAACTCAACATCCTAAATTGCACACAGCAACATCCCACAAACAGCTATGAAGCGATGACCAATTTTATCTGGTGGATTGTTGGCCAGGACACCGGTGGTGATAAACTCTTTTCTATTTTTGGATAGCGCCTTGGGATCTTTAATGTTCACCTTAGTCCTAAGTGTCGCCTTAGGACTTAGAAGGTCAGCTCAAAATCCAACATCAGGCTTCAACTCTCAATGTTCTGACCCCGAGCAAAGTGCAGGCGACTGGGCCAGGCCGACAGATAACAACAACAACAACAAAATAATTCTGGTCCTACCTCGTGTGTTGCTGCAAGTGAGAAAGCTGGCGGAAGGATTTTTCGCAGTAGGAGCAGTGGTAAGGCTTGACTCCCAGATGGATGCGCAGGTGCTGAGCCAGGTAGGAGGCATTGGCGAATGACTTGGAACAATGTGGACACTTGTGGGGTTTGGCCTCTGTGTGGGACTTGGAATGAATTTGCATCTCGGATTTGGAGAAAAAGGTCAAAGGGCAGATCTTACACCTAGTGGGGGGGAAGGGCAAAAAATATATATTTTCAACCAAATCGCTTCCAGTCAGTTCATACACACACACCCACACCTCACCCACTGATGCCAAGAATGTCAACTTGAAGCCATTTCGTCTCCGTTGAGACTCAGCTAACCTCCCCCCAGATTGACAATACAGGTTGGGGAACCCAGAGTGTGCGTTGGGGTAACTGCTGGAGTCTAACCAGCTAAAAATTATAGTGAATTCGCTTTACAGTATATTGTGAAGCGCTTTGAGACGTCTTGAAGATGTGATGAGGCACTGTATCAAATGCAAGGATCATTATTATTAATGATCCTTATTGTTTTCCATTCTCTGGCAAGCTTTCCTGCTGCTTGTCCAGCTAGGCCCACCATACCCATTAGGGCTTTGGGCTGCAGGGTTAACAGGAGCTGAGTGGGATGACTCCCTGCCCCTAGTGACTGGTCTGCCCTTCCAAGTGCTGCTGATGAGCCAGGCTGGCTGTGCTGTCAGTAGTGGCAGGGTAGGGGGGGTTAGAGGTTGTGCTCTTGAAAAGGGATATAGTTGAAGGTAAGATATCTAAAGCAGGGATTCAGGCAGCTTGTGATCTCTGAGCCGGTGCTTGCCATATGACTAGAGTGTTCAAAGGAAGGTCCATGTCACACTGAGGGGTTTGCAGGCGGATGTGGATACAGCAAAGCGGTGGGATTCAGCTGCTCTCCTTACTCTGTGAGCCAGGTGGGCTTAGATGGGCCAAATATCCTCCCTTTGCACTGTAGATATCTTGGGTTCTACATGACTCCTGACGAACACAACTTAGGTCTCTCATCTCAAAGGACAGCGACTATGACGATGTAAAACTCCCCCAGTACTCTACACTGATGCCAACTTAGACTGCAAAATAAAAGATCTGGATTAGGGCTTGAATCCACAAGTTTTGGAGCCAGAGGTGAGGGTGTGACAGTCTGAGCCAAGTTGACACATGAAATGACTGGTATTGAATTTAAACTTATCCCCCACGAGGCAGGAAACCTAAGAGCTGATAAGGGGATCAAGGAACCATAATGACAATTGCCGTGAATAATAATAATAATCCTTGCATTTGATATAATACCTTATGTCTTCGAGACGTCTCAAAGCGCTTCACAGAATATACTGTAAAGTGTACTGACTGTGCATTTTTCAGACGAAATGTGGCAGCAAATTGGGCACAGCAGTGTCCCACAAACTGTCATGAATTGAGTGACCCAATGTTTTTAGCGATTATTCCCCCTGGAAAAGCGAACCGCCAATCAACAACAAAACAACCGGGTTCCTACTTACTGCAAGGCAAACAGATGGGGGTGCAGTGAGGAAACTTCCCCAACATTTCATTCTGCCTGGGAATCGAACCCAGGTCCTCACGATTGTGATACGAGTGCTCTAACCACTGAGCTACAGGACTCCACGCGGAGCTACAGAAGTTCCATGTAAACCATGGCACACATTCAAGGCTGAAAGTCGATAATGCAGGTTCTCATGAAAACTTATTGGAAAATCTATTCTACTGAAAATAATCCAATACCGCAAGGGCACGATGGGCACAATGGCCTCTTTCTGGGCTGTAATGTTCTATGGTTCTATACTTTGTTAAGGATGACACCTGTAATGCTATTCTGTTTAAGTCTTTCCTTCTTCTCCAGGTTTATGGTGTAGATCTGAGAGAACCATTTTGTGTTGTCATCTCTCGTCCCCTCTTCCCATTGGAGCAGAATGTTGGCAGAACCTTGTGACATCATAACGGGGGGAATGCCATGGTCTGTCCGCGCTTCCTGGTCATGATGTCATTTCCTGTTATCAGAGCTGAAGCCCACTATGTCACGAAAGGCGGAGTTAGTAAACAAACATGGCTGCTTCCTCCAAGTCCTCTGGGGAAAGGAGTCGGAGTGATGGATGACATTAAACATGATTTATAGCAATGAGGGAACATTCACCTTTGTTTTGCACCTTCTAATCAGTTCCTCTCAGACTGGGATTTGACCCACCGTCACCAAACCAGTAACTGCAACATTACATCCTGTTTTCTGTACGTGGGCGTCAATGTATTGATCATAGAATCATAGAAGTATACAGCACAGAAGGAGGCCATTCGGCCCATCGTGTCTGTGCCAGCTCTTTGAAAAGAGCTTCCAAACCAATCCCACTTCCCCGCTCTTTCCCCTTAGCCCCAAGACTCTCCACTTTGACTGTGCCCTTGGCCACCCTTCTACCTTCTCTCCCTGATCCCACCTTCCTGATCCACTCTGGTTCCCCCCCTCCACCTGATCCCCCCCCACTCCCTGTGATCCCCCCGCTCAGTTGCTAATCCTTGTTCAGTGCCTTAGGATGTCCTCCTGATGTGAAAAGCTCTTTACAAATGTAATTTTGTATTGTATGTGATTCCTGATGACCCTGAATCTTCTTCACCCAACATTCAAACACAACAAACGTCCAGAAGATGCTATGGATAGGGAGCCTGGCTCGATCTCCCTTCTCTAGCCCAGGGGCACTGGGGCCAACAGTTGCCCACACATTGCCAGCCCAAGAACAATGATGGGGGTCACCTAGGTGACGAGGAGCAACCTTGATCTCAGGATCTTAGCACAGACCCGAGCCCATGCATTCATGTTGGGTGATTTATTTTTACTGCTTGTACATTTTATCTTTATTTTTGCTGACTGTTTGGTACCTACTTCACCTCTCTGCCTCAGGCCCCTGTAAAACCCCACCCACCTTCTCCCCCACAGCCTCACCTGTTTGACGCTCAGGATCCCGCTGGTTGAAACAAAATGGTTTCCGGCCAGTTTGCAGCCATCCAGCGTGAGCCTTGTCAGAGTTTGTGCAGAACAAGCCAACGACATAGCAAGACATGACAAGCACATGCAACAGTGACAGCTCAATGGACTGTCGGAAGAATTCCAGACATAAAGGAAGCAAGCCAGAGCTGACCTCCCCACTGTGCTAAGGGTGGGGTGTGCGATGCGGACTTATGAGGGATATTTGAGTTAAGTTGTTATTCAGCCAAAGGGAATCCTGTCGATGGGTGAAAATGCTGGTGTGATAATCGTCACATCGAATGCCACGTGTTTTTGTGAGGGTGCGTATGTGTGTGAGGGAGAAAATCAGTGCGAGTATGTCTGTGTGAGTGCGTTAGTGAGGGTGTGTGGGTGAATCAGTGTGAAAAAGTGAGCAACTGATCAAGCGAGAGTTTGAGTGAGCAGTTGCTGTGAGCGTGAGTGAGTCTTCTCTGTGTGCGTTTGCATGTGAGTAAGTGCTGTATGTGTGTGAGTAGTTGGGGTGAGTGTGCAAGTTGTATCCATATGTGAGTGTGAGTGAGCGATTTCAATAAGTGAGTCAGTGTGTGTGTGTGTGCGCGTGAGTGAATGAGACAATAATGATCCTTGCATTTGTGCCTTATCACATCTTCGACATGACAAACACATGCAACAGTGACGTCTCAAAGCGCTTCACAGAATATACTGTACAGTGAATTGACGGTATATTTTGTAGAAGAGCGAGTGTGAGTGCTGTCGAGTCCTGTGTGGTTCTTACCTGTTCACACCCTCTGGTGACGTTTAGCCAGGGCTGTTTGAGGGGTGCCTGTAACCCTGCCCCCCCAGCCCACCCCCACCCACTCTCAGACTCTGAAAGGCCCATTGTCGGTGGGTACTGTACCGCTTATTGTCCAACCTGTACGTTTTCCCATCCTTGGTGGGTTCGGTGCCTGAGGCCAGGATAGGATAGGGGACGACGAGGACGGGGGCTCCTCCGCTGCAGTTCTCCCCCTTGATCTTCTTCCTCCCTCGGTCGTTCCGCAGCATGCCAGGCTGCCCCACCGCCTTAGCGATGAGTGAGGCCTCCATGCTCTGGTGGTGGCTGACCAAGCTGGAGATCAGAGCCGCCGGGGCGTCTTCCATACGACTCTGGCCAGCCGAGGTCACACTAATGGAATCCGAGGTGCCCGTAGACGTGGAGATACTGTGTCCTGATCAGGCGAGAGAGAGAGTGAAAGTGAGAGAGAGTGAATGGGGTCATAAATAAAGGAAGAAGAAAATGATTAAATAAAATTTTGGTCATTCGCTTTATGGGCTATTTGATTCGCTTTATGGGCTATTTGTGGGAAGTTGCTATGCATAATTCGGCCGCCACATCCGGCTACACAATACACAGTCACTACACTGTATGGTAAATCCTGTGAAGGGTGAGAGAACGGGTGAGAAGCTACATTTTCACAAGTGAAGACGCAGCATTCAGTTGACGGGCTCACTGTCTTCAGCCAACAGCAACAACTTACACAGTGTCCCCTCACGGAGGGTAGTGTTCCAGGGCGCCTGACAGTGGCTGAGCACGACACTGATGTGGGGGGAGCTGGGAGGTGACCGTAGGCACTGGTCGAAGAGGAAGTTCCTCAAGCGTGACCTGAAGATGGGTAAGGAGGGGGCAATGTGGAGGGATTGAGGGAACTTGTTCCAGAGGTTCTGGGTGTAGTCAGGACATACGGTCCAGCATGGAACCTGTTTGACCACCCAATCTTTCTTTAAACCTGCTCTACAGCACTTTTGAGACAAAATCTTATGGTGACAGGTAACGTTTAAACTGCCTAATGCCGCATTCCGCATTCTGAACCAGGGTGGAACAATGTACTGAGCTGTCTCTGTTATAAGCTGTCGTCTCTGAGATTATTGGCTTCACATCACATCACACAGAGAGGCATTGCATAAATGACTCTATTCAACAAATACCCACTCGCTACTGATAAACACCGCGGGGAAACTTGCAACATAAATATACAATAATATTTTTTGTATTTAATATAGCATTTCACAGGAATTACTGTAAACTACAGCAGCTGTGTGAGCATTGTAGACGAAAGCAGCAGCCAATTTGCATACAGCAATGGAGTGAATTCATGATTTAATCTGGGGGATTGTTGGCCAGGACACTGGGAGAGAGGAACTCCCTTCTCTTTTTTAATAGTACCACGGGATTTTTAACGTCCACATGAAAAGGTAGACGGGAACTCAATTTAACGTCTCATCCAAAGGACGCAACTCCGAGATTGCAGTGCTCCCATCAATGCAGTACGGGGGCTGATGGACCATAGCCTGCCCAATATTCGCACTAGTCTAGGTAAATCCGTGGTCAATCAACAGTGTATTTCCATTTTTTCTTATTAAAAATAATACTTGAATTTGGATTATAATGCCTTATTAGGTCGAAAGGACGTCTCAAAGCCCTGTGGCCAGATTAACTGGCATGATACCTCGTCGCTGTTTGTGGGACCTTGCTGTGCGCAAATTGGCTGCCGCGTTTCCCGACGAAAATAAACAGTCACTGCACTTGACAGTAATTGATGGAAAGCACTTTGAGATGTGATGAGGTGCTGTGGGAATTGCTGTGGGTACAAGCCTGATTGCATCACTAGGTGGTGCTGTACAGCATCACAACATCGGCCACTCCGCCACAGGGTGGTTGCGTTCAGTCACTGCCACATGTGCTTGAAATAAACACTACAGACAGCAATTCTCATGTGTCAGTGGCATTCATAGAACTCTGTCTGGTTTGGATACTCTTAACGTGGTGATGGGTTTCCGCACCTGTCAAACACTTCCGACATCTCTGATCGAAATAATATCACCTGCAATGGAAATTTCCCTATGTCTGGAATAGATTGTCTCCTTGGAGACACACATCCTTCTTATCTAATCCCGGAGAGTATTAGGCGCAGACTAGCAAGAGCCAAGGTTTGGAGACCCCAGAGTATATGTTGGGGTAACTGCTGGAGTCTAACCAGCTAAACCCACGTAACTTGCCATTGATATCACTATCTAGCTTTCAAGCTTTCCAACTGCTTGTTCAGGCTAGGACCACCCTACCAGTTAGGGCTTTGGCTTACAGGGTTAACAGGAGCTGAGTGGGATAACTCCCTGCGACTGATCTACCGATGAGCCAGCCTGAGCTGTGCTGTCATCAGCAGTGCCCTGGAGAACTGCAAACCTGCCTGGCTCAGAAACCGGACTACCGAGACTGCATAGCTGGTGATCACCTTGGAGCCAGTTTAGCTGGTGGGAGCTTCTCTTTAAACCACTGCGTGCTTAATAAAATAATCCTTGCATTTGACTTCGCGGCTTAGCACATCGTCTCAAAGCTCTTACAGTAAAGTGGTTTTGACTGCGTGTTTTGTCGGCAACATTTGACAGCCACTTTGCACACAGCAATGGCCCACAAATAACCATGGAGTGAGTGACCAATTTTATTTGGGGGGATTGTTGGCCAGGACACCGGGAGAGAGAAACTCCCTTCTCTTTTCGAATAGTGTCGTTGGATCTTTAACATCCACCTGAACAGGCAGACAGGAATTAACGTCTCATCAGAAGGACAAGATAACACAGTGGCGATGGGGCTCCTGTAATGACATTAGGAAGGTGGCAGCAATCAATGAGGGTTGTAAGAATTACCTGACATGGAGCTGGTGGCAGGCCGGGCATGGAGGGCGACATCTGGCTGGGGTGACTGTGTGTGGATGTCAGTCAGTTGCTGGGGTTTCAGCACAGCCAGCTGGGATTGGAGGCTCTGTGAGGTGGTCGGCACCAGCAGAGGCTGCTGAGAAGGTATTGTGGTAGGAGGCATGTGCGGGGAACGAATCTTCTCTGCCATCAACTGCTCCTTGATCTTATTAATCAGCATCAGGTTGTCCAACTGGAAGGGGAGAGAGAGAGAGAGAGAGAGAGAGAAAAAGAGAGAGACGGACAATAGCAACACTGCACCAGAAAGACATGAGTGGGAAATCGGCGGTATTCCTAAACACATTCTTGTTCTTAATTAATGTCAGGGAGAGTTAAAGTATCAAAGAAACGGACGACAAAGTAAGAAGCGATTCGGCCAATTTCTCATCTGTGGTTGCTCCTCCAAAATGCTGCCCAACCCAATCCCAATTCTCTGCTGTCTCCCCGCCCCCTCTACAAGTTTTAAATGTCTCCCCCCCTCCCCCCCTCAATGACTCTACTTCAAAAGCTGCCCCTGGCAAATCATTCCACACCCTGATAACCCTCTGGGAGAAGAAGTCCTTGGGCAAATGAGAATAAGAGGAGGCTATTTAGCCCATCAAGTCTGTTCCATTAGTTAATTAGTTAACAACAACAACAACATCTTCACAACCCTGTGTGTGATGAAACGCTTCCTGACCATGGATCTAATTCTCTTGGTTCTCATTTTCAGGCTCTGACCCTGTAATCGATCCCTGTATCAGAGGGAAGAGATGTCCATTGACTAGCCTGTCAATTCCTTTTATTAGTTGAACCACCTCAATCAATTCATCCCTTAACCTCCTCTGCTCTAAGGACTATAATCCAAGTCTACCCAGATGGCCATCATATCTCAGCCTCTTCAGCCCTGATAATAGTTTAGTGATCGTCTCCAGTATATCCTACAACACATTCCCAACAACTATTCTTCCATCCCATGTGTACTACCTTACACTTTGCAATGTTAATCTCCATCTGCCACAGGTCTGCCCACTCGTTATGTCTCTTCGTGTTTATTAGCTCTCCTAACAATTTACAACTTCTAGAGAGGGTATCTCAAAACGCTTCACACAGACTGATTGGGAGCCTGAGCTGGTAGCGGGGGACATGAAGCCGGGCGGTGGTTGATGATCGGAGGGAGCAGATGGGGCAGTAGGGTCACAGGAGGTCGCAGAGGTTGGATGGGGCGAGGGCTTGGAGTGTTTTAAACACGAGGACAAGGATTTTTCACTTGATCTTCTGGACGATAGGTCGCCAGTAAAGCCAGGCGAGGCCTAGGGTGATAGGCTAGCAGAACCTGGTGAGGGAGAGGATACGAGCTGCAGAGTTCTGGATGGTCTGCAGCTTGTGTAAGGAGGGTGGAGCAATTGAGCCTATTGAGCCTGGACGCAGTGATGAGAGTAAATAATAATAATAAACCTTGCATTTGATATAACGCCTTATCACGTCTTCGAGACGCCTGAAAGCGCTTCACAGAATATACTGTAAAGTGTAGTGATTGTATATTTTATGTGCGAAACGCGGAGGCCAATTGAGCACAGTAGCGTCCCACAAACAGTCGTGGACTACTTCATTATTATTTTTTTTGAAGGAATTATTACTCCTGGAAATAAGGGATCCTAGCAGCGGATGGGGAGGGGAGGAACAGGGGGAGGTAATGGTAGAGGTGGGCGATGTTGCGGAGCTGGGGGAAACTGAGCGAGTGAGAGCCCGGACGTGGGGTTTAAAAATAGCTGGGCAAGACCCCGAGGTTCCGCACCGGCTCCGTGAAGTGGAGTGAGCGTCCGTGCAGATCGATGTGGTCAGCGCCTGAGAAGAGGAGGTGCTGACGGGAGCCAAGCAGGAGAGCCTCGGTCTTGTCGACATTGAGCTGTAGAAAGTTAAACGATAATCTTTACATTTGACACAGCGCCTTTCACGCCGGGAGGACGTCTCAAAGCGCTTCACAGGATTTACTATAAAGTGCAGTGACTGTGTGTTTTGTAGGCAAACACAGCAGCCAGTTTGCACACAGCAGTGTCCCATAAACAGTTATGAAGTGAATGACCAGTTGTAATTGGGGAATTGTTGGCCAGGACACCAGGAGAAACTCCCTTCTCTTTTTGAATAGTGTCACAGGATCTTTAACATCCATCTGAACGGGCAGACGGACCTCAGTTTAATGTCTCATCTGAAGGCAACACACCCCCAGCACTGCATTAGAGAGTCAGCTTAGACTTTACAAGTCCCAAGTCCCAACATGGGGCTTGAACCTCACAATCTTCTGACTCAGAAGCACGAACGCTACCAAGTGAGCCAGGCTGATAGAAGTTAGAACTCATACAGGACTTGATGTCTGACAGGCAATTGGTGGTTCTGGAATTGAGAGTTGTGGCAGAGAGAGAGATAGAGTTTGGTGTCATCTAATACCTGTGGAAGCAAACCCCTTACCTGCAGATGATGACCCCAAGGAAGAACATATAGATAGTGAAGAGGAGAGGAATGAGGAAAGAGCGCTGAGGAACGACGTGTATTACTGTGTGGGAGCAGGAGGAGAAGCCATTAAGACGAGACAAAGTGGAGACCGTGGGAGTAAAACCAGGGAGATGGGAGCAGGGAGGAGAGACATGGAGAATGAGAAGAGTGGTTGACAGGTGGAAGGTTGCAGAGAGATCAAGGTGATCTAGGAGCAGAGAGAGCCCTGGTAGAGAGAATGTTATTGGTGACATTTCCACCCCACTAGGAATTTGGATTTGAGATGACTTTGTGGGAAATGGAGGGTGTGGGTGATGACCACATCAAAGGGATGGTATGGATATTGGTGCTAGAGTGGGTGGGGGAGTTCACGTGGAGGGTGGGGTTGAGGGAGGAGAGGAGGGTGTGAGAGATCAGCAAAGATAATAATAATGATCCTTGATATAGAGCCTTATTGCTGACATTACTGAGATGTTTCAAAGCGCTTCTCAGAATACATGGTAAAGCGATAAGAGATTGATTGTGTATTTTGTGGGTGAATGACCTGGAGGTTAGAATCACGTAGAATGAGCTGGCTTTGGGAGCAGAAACCAAGAGAAAATAGGAGGAAGGAGATATCTGGGAGAAATGTGCCGTAAGGCTGAGGGCGGGGGGATGTTAATGAGGATTTTGAGGGAGAGATTGGAAAGCTTGTAGCCCTAGAATGTCAATACTTTCAGTTTTAGATTGTGTACAGGGAAGGCCTTGTTGCCTAGGCCGATTTGGAGGCCAAATTTGAAATCCAAGGGCCTGAGGGAGTTTGTGGGATGGGTGGGGAGGGGTAGAGGGACAGGTCTTGCAGGGAGATTGGGGCATGAGCCAGCCTGCTCTGAGAGAACGGAGGAAGAGAAGGGAAATGGGGTTAGAGTAGAGATGTCCAGTGGGGGAGCGAGCACCAGCACAGTCATGATGGGAAGAGAGAGCAGGGAATGGGGTTAGAGTAGAGACACAATGTGACCATGTATAAACCATTTGCAAAAGAATATTAGCACCTTCCCTCCTGTTGATTCCTGAAAAATAACACCATCTTGAGTTTCAAAGCCTCATTTCTTCCACTGTGACACATTTGGACTAATCTACGATATTTCTTAACAGATATCTTCATAGAATCATAGAATTATACAGTGTATACCCTGTATATGGCCCACCGTGTCTATCCAAATCAATCCCACTCCCCCGCTCTCGCCCCATAGCACTGCAAACTTGTCCTCCCCAAATAATTATCTACTTCTCACTTAAAAGTTGTTATCGAATTGGCTTCCACCAGCCTTACAGGCAATGCATTCCAAATCTGAACAACAATCTTAATAAGAAATGTGCATAATATAATTCAAATTTACATTTATATAGCTCCTTTTATGTCAGGAGGATATCTCAAGACACTGGACTACAATTATCCTGGCAGAGGTTAAAGCGGGGGGGAGGGGGGAAGCTGTGGGACAGTCCAGAAGGGAGAGAAGGTGGAGAGGGTATTAGAGGAGAAGGATCGGGGATAGAAACGGGGGCACTATTAGGGGGCAGCTCAATTCAGGGGCGGCAGCCAAAACGTTCACTAGGAACGGGCATAAGCAGGTATGGGTGGCGGCTAAGGAGGGCAAAGCAGGAGGATGTGAGAGTGGGGGGTGCTGGCAATTAGCACTCAACTGACAACTAGTTACTGATCAAAAGACAAAAATTGATACTTTACAAACTCAATCATTAGACATTACTTATTAAGATATTTCTTATTAGGAAATGTCGTACATTAGACCCGGAGGCAGAGCGGGGTGCACTCTCTCACTATCTCTTACCTGGCCAGACATGGAGGGGGGCGGGGGCCAGAAGTAGGGGTTGTTGAATCGCGACTCTGCCATGGCGGCTATGGAGGAAAAAAAAGGCGTTTTTGTTAAAAACAAAGTTATGAACTAAATATGAATGACAATCCTTGCGTTTGATACAGGCCGTGTCCTGATGTGTAACTTGTCCTGTAGCGAAGTGGTTAGAGCGTTCGCCTCCCAAGTGAGAGGACCTGGATTCAATTCTTGGCCAGGGCGAAATCTTAAGCAAGTTTCCTTACTTCACACACACGCCTGTTTACCTACTGGTTGTTAGTCGACTGGTGGATCAGTTTAGACATCCCGAAGAAACTTCACACACTCTCAGATACTTACGCACACACTCTCTCTTTCTCATACACATACATAAACTATCACACACACAGTCTCACTCTTACACATACACACACTCATACACATTTTCACATACACTCACTCACACAGACACAGAGACCACACTTCCTCACACACAGACTCTCGTATACATACACACACACACTCTCTCAAACACACATATAGTCTCTCACTCATGCACTCACACAGACAGTCAAACTCACAGACACTCTCACACCAGCAGTGACACCCTCTCCCTAACCCAGACACACGCAGGCCATCCCCAGGATCACAGCTTCATTCATTCCTCGAATAAAGGTGGGCAAAAGCAATAGAGTTCCAAGTTCAAGTAAAGTGAAAACTGATGTTAATTAACAAATTTGTTGTATTACCTGAGAAACACCACAATTTTAAAATGCATTGGAACAGGAAGAGGCCATTCAGCCCATCGAGCCTGTTCCCCAAGTTCATTAGATCTCAGCAGATTTTTTAATACAATACGCTACAGGTTTACATTTACACAGAGTCTTTCACATCGCAACCACCCTTTCTCACACCTCCTAATACCTCCACTACCCAACCAAGTCTCTTGTAAACATCCCCTATTGATTATATCTCTACAGGTCTCTGGGGCAGAGCTTTCCACATCCTCACATTCCTCAGTGAGGAAATGCTTCCTGACCTCAGTACTAACCCTCTTTATTCTGTTTTTCCTGCTGTGTCCCTCATAACGATCCCTCTGCCAGCCCACTCTCTAACTATCCACTCTCTGTCAATTCCTTTCACTATTTTAAACATCTCAATTATAACCTTAACCCCTT